AATAAGAGTAAGTAGCATAGAATGATGAACACTGATAATGGAGGCACTAATGATAATGAAGAAATCTTTAAAAATAACTGCACAATTTCATAATATAGCATATTCATCATGAAATCAACATGGGCAAATTAGCCTGTGAAGGCTAAATAAATAGGGTATTAGATTTTGACAACTTTTATTGAAAGGGAGTTAGAGATAGATAGATGGATAGATGAATGAGTAGGTAGATGGGTAGATAGACAAATGGGGAGATGGATGGATAGATGAATAGATAGTTGGATAAGTGGGTGAATAGATGGATGGATGGATTTATATATAAAATCAGATTTCTAACACCATCCAAAACCCACTTACTGAGAATCACTTGGGAAAGAGGCCTTGGGATTTACATTAAAACAAGACCTCAAGTGATTCTTTTAAAAATGTTTATAATATAACTTTATTGATTTCAGAGCGGAAGGGAGAGGAAGAGAGAGAAACATCAATGCTGAGACACCCCACACTGGGGATCAAGCCCACAACCTGGGCATGTGTCCTGACCAAGAATCGAACTGCCTGTATTTCTCTGGATCTCATGTTGGTAACAAGAATCTTGCTGACCTCCCAACGTGTTATTCAAGACTTACTTCCTCAGAAACAACTCGGGCAAATCTCCATTCCGACCACCGGCGTTAGGAGGAAGTCCGTCCTTCTCTCTACTGATACTGGGAGAGGGCGGCAATGCTGAGCTCCCTCTCCCGGCCACGGCCCTCCCGCCAACACTCACAGGAGATAAACATGGAGATTGCTATCAGTACATCACAAGGTGCGTTAGAGAAATAAACTCCTCCCCGGCCTGCCTCTGGCTGGGGCACATGCAGCAGGCAGCCCATCGGGGTGTTTCTCTCACCTCCAGGTTTCTCTCTGTCTTTCCTTCTCTCCCCCATTCTCCCTAAAAATCATTGGAAAATAGCCTCGGGTGAGGATTAATTTTTTAAAAATTGCCTGCATGCACGGGGTGTGGCTGCTCCCCACTGTGAGCTCAGCAGAGGCCCTGCCGCAGACACGGAGCGTGCAGCCCGCACGGGGCACTTAGTATGCGATTTGCATGTGGGAGGCTTAGGGAGTCTGCCCGGCGCTGCTGTCTGGTCTGTGGGGAGCCGCACCAGCCCTGAGCGCCTGTGGATCCGTTTCTTAAAGGAGCGGACGCGTCTTCCTGACATTTCCAAAGCCTGTTCGAGTCTGGTAGGCCCCGGGGCCGGGGGCGGGGCGGGGCTGTTCTCCCAGCAGGGCCTTCTGTGTCCCTCCTGTGGCCGAACAGACAGCTGGAGCTGGCAGCCATGGGAGCCCGTGCGAATGTGGGGTTCCCTCCTCCGCAGCCTGAACTGGCCGAGGCCCCGGCCGGGAGTCCACCCACCGCCACAGGCCTCTCCCCGCCCACAGCCACGGGGTTAAGGTTACAGAGCCTCTCCTGTCCCCCTTTAAAGACCCAAAAGCCCGAACTGAGCCCCACCGAGGTGCCCGGGGGCCACGCCAGCATGGGCCCGCCCGTGGAGCTGCTCTGTAAACACACACACACCCCGACACGCAATCAAATGCTCCCCGAGTCCGTCCTGGCTGCAGGAGCTCTGACTCTGCAGTAATTTTCTCAGATCAGCCTCAGGTGAGGGGCTGGGGGCTCAAATCTGAGCTCTTGGAGAGAATTCCTCCTTCTTCCGTTACCTGGACTAGAGGGGACTGCTGGCCGCCTCCTCCCTCCCCCGTCCCTGCAGACACGCTGCCGAGGCAGTGCTGGTGTTAACCTTACGACACACAGGGTTAACTCCAAAAAGGAGAAACACCACGAGCGGATTCCGGTGCCCCAACGCTGTAGTGAAGCTCAAAGCACCAGCCCCCAGAGCCACGCCAGGCACGGAGGGCACAGGTCCAGGCCACAGCCACGGCTGCTGCTGCCCCGCGGGTCCCTGCCAGCAGATCCTGAAGGATGCCCACGCACCCACACCTGCCAGGGGAGCACCCACACGTGGCCAGGCTGCAGCCTGAGCCGTCCTCCACCTCCTTCCTGTCCGGGAGCCCTGTACTCGCAGGCCCAGCCCAGGGCACTGCCATGCCCCCGCCCCTGCAGGGCCCGGCCCAGGTCACCAAGGATTCCAGAGGGGGTGCAGCCCTGCCCCAGGAGCCAGAGAGAACTGGGGAGACCCCTTGCTGGCCTCACTAGCCCCCTGCCTGCAGCCCCTGCCATTGGACCCTGGGGAGCAGAGACCAGCCCCAACACTGGGGAGAGGAAGGCACTGCACACCCCCCTCAGCCTTGGCCAGGCACTAGGCGCGCGCGCACACACACACACACACACACACACATGCACATACACACGCGCACACACGCATGCACACATTCACACATATATGCATGCATACACCGGTGTGAGTGCACACACATGCACATATGCACACGTGTGTGCATACACAAACATACATGCATGCACACATATACACAGGCACACATATATACACATGGACATGCATGCCTGATGTTGCATCCAGATGCACTTAGGGCTCCTGCAGCCCAGACCAGGGACTCCCTGGAGCAGAGGGCACTCTGCCTGTAGCTGCCCCTCCAGGCTCCAGGGTAGCCCAGGACTTTGCTCCTCTCCCCCTCCCCACCCCCCCCCCCCCGCAGTGGGCCCTGAGCCCGGAGAGCCCCCCTCTGCTCCTGCCCCCGCCAGCCGCCCCCAGGAAGCGCGGGCCCACCCGCGAGGGGGCAGCATCCTCCCCACACACGCACACGCGAGCTGATTATTAAGCAGCCCAGGAGGAGGCTGCCTCCTGCAACAGCAGCTCCTGCTAACTCAGGGGAAGGTGCTGGAGGGAGCAGGACCGGCTGGGGCTGCGGAGGATGCGGGAGGGGCGGGAAGTTTGGTGGAGTTGCAGTTGCTTCACAAGTGTTTCCTCTCCACAGGGAGCTGCACTGAGCCAAGCCCTCCCCTCCCCAGGCCTGGGCCCACCTCCAGGCCACGGGCAGCCCCTCCCAGGGAGGACCCTGGCTCTCTGGGTTCCAGCTTGGTCTCCTCCAGCTGAGACTGGGCTCCCAGGCCCTGCCCGCACACCACCCACTGCACCCGCTGTGCCTCCTGGAGACTCCAGAGCCCAGGCTCACAAGGGGACCCCAGCAGGCGGGCGGGCAGAGGGCCAGTGTCTCTACAGCTCCTAGACCCCAGGAATGGGAACGGAACGGGCCTGGCTGCCCGGAATGCTGGGACCAGGGATGTGGGACTAGGGATGCTTGGACCAGGGATGCTGGGGCCAGATATGCTGGACCAGGGATGCTGGACCAGGGGTGCTGGGAGGAGGGATGCTGGGAAGAGGGATGCTGGGACCAGAGATGCTGGGACCAGGGTGCTGGACCAGGGATGCTGGACCAGAGATGCTGGGGACCAGGGATACTAGGACCAAGGATGCTGGGGACCAGGGATGCTGGGACCAGGGATGCTGGGGACCAGGGATGCTGGGACCAGGGATGCTGGGACCAGGGATGCTGGACCAGAGATGCTGGGGACCAGGGATACTGGGACCAAGGATGCTGGGGACCAGGGATGCTGGACCAGGGATGCCGGGACCAGGGATGCTGGACCAGAATGCTGGGACCTGGGCAGAAGCTTCCCTCTGACAGCCCTTGGGGAGGCTGAGCCATGGCTCAGAGACCAGTCCCCAGCAGTCAGCTCTCCCCAGCTGGTGCCCAGAGGAGCCACAGGAGGGAACGCCTCACCCACCCAATCTCCACACACACTCCCCACCCCAGGCCAGCCACCCCGGCAGCCCTAGAGGCACTGGACAGCCCTGAGCCTGGACACCGGCCCGGGCCCTGGGACCAGGGACCGCGGACTAGATGGGTAGAACAGGAGAGGCAGAGGACAGCAACTTCATGGGGAGCAGAGATGGCAGGAACAGATACAGGACTCAGCGCTCCCAGACACACAGCCCACAGCTGCTCCCAGAGCAGGGGCTGGAGTGCGGACAGGGCGTCCAAGGGGCCAGCGGGAGGGAGCGCGGGGAGGGGGCACCAGAGTGGGCACCAGAGGGGCACGCACTGTGCAATGTGCATGGCAACCCCCTCCCGCCTCCCTCCCGCCCCGCCTCAAACCCAGAGGGGCTTGTGTTCCTGGAGGAGGAACCGCAGGCGCTGCAGCCCGCCGCCCGCCCGCCTGGGGGCCGCTGGGGGGGGGGGGGACACGAAGCCAACTCACGTCAAGGAGAAAACCAAGTTCCCGGGGCTCCAGGCGCCCCCACCCACCCCCCCGGAGGCAGCGCCCGGTGCCCGGAGCCCCAGGAGGAGGAATCCCCCCAGTCTCCCCCCTCTGTCTCCCCTTTCTCCCCCCTCTCCCCCCCTGTCTCCCCACCCCATCTCCCCTCTCCTCCCCCGGGTCTCCCCCTCTCCCCCCCCCAGTCTCCCCTCCCGCGGGCGCAGGGAGCAGAGTGCGGGGAGCACGGCCCCCTGGCAGCCCTCACGCCCCCCACCCCCGCCGGAGAAGGGGCTGGCGGAGGGGCCGGTGGGGGGACAGCGGGGCGCTCGCGGGGAGGGGGCCCGGGGAGGGGGGCCAGGCCAACTGCCGCGCTGCAGGGTGCACCCCCCTCAGCCCCGGGAGCCCCAACTTGAGAGCCGGCCTCCCGGCACCTGCTCCCCGCCTCCCGGTCCGGATCCGGAGAGTCCTGCACCGGCCCCGCCGCCGCCCGCTGCGCCCCGTCTCCATGGGGCAGGCGGCCCGGTCCGGCGGCTCCCCGCGCCCCGCTCCTGACAGCCCGCACCCCGGGAGCGGCCCTGTCCCTCCGGCCCCCACCCCTTCAGCCCCCCACCCCCCAGGAGCCGAGGCCGGGGCGGGGGGGGGGGAGGGGGTCCGCCCGCCCCGCACGGAGCCTCCCGCTGCCTCCCCGGCATCGCGCATCCCCGTCCTCCCCAGCGGACCCGGCGCTCCCTCCCGCCGCCTCCCCCCGCGGCCCGGCCTCCCCGCGGCCCCGTCTCCTTACCGGCGGCTGCGGCGAGGAGCCCGGCGCACAGCAACAGCACGGCGGGCCCCGGGCGCTCCCTCCGCGCCGTCATGTCTGCAGATCGTCCTCCCTCCGGGCGGCGAGGGCTCCGCGGCGGCGAGACTCTCCCTCCGGGGCCGCTCCCGGGCGCGCGGCTGGGCCGGGCCGGGCAGGTGGTCAGCGGAGGGCGCGGCAGGCGCTCCCTCCGGGGCGGGGGCGCTCCGGCCGGGCGGTCAGCGGAGGGCTCTCCGGGCCGCGCAGGGAGCCCGGTGCCGCCCGGCCCCGCGCCGCCTTCGCCTCCCGCAGGTCCGGGCGCCGGGCCGCGCCGCGCTCATCGCATCGCCGCCGGAGCTGCGGGCCGAGGGAGCTGCGGGCAGAGCCGCGCCGGGTGCGGGTGCGGGTGCGGGTGCGGGTGCGGGTGCGGGGCGAGCGGCGGAGGCGCCGCGGCCGAGGCTGCGGAGGATCGCGCCGCCCGGAGCGCGGAGCCCGAGCGCGGAGCCGGAGCCGAGCGGAGGCAGCGAGAGGCTGCGAGCAGCGAGTGGGAGCGGAGGGAGCGGGAGGAGGAGGGGCGGGCGGCGGGGAGGGCCCGGCGGGAGGCGGGAGCGCGGGCAGCGGGCTGGGCGCGCACGGAGCCGCTGCCGCCGGCGGCCGGACTCAGCCTCCTCCCCGCGGAGCGGGAGGGGCGGGAGGGAGGGAGGGAAGGAGGCCGGCCCGCTACCCAGACGCGCGGCCGGGCGCCGGCTCCGAACCCCGCGAAGGCTGGGGAGGCGGACTGGCTGGGTGCGAGGTGGGGACCCCCACCCCAGACCCCATAAGGGAGAGGCAACTCCTGCAAACGGGGGGTGTGGGGGGGCCTGCGGGCAGGGCTGTGTCCCCCATCTCCGCCCTCTGCTCCCCGCTGACCAGGAGAGGTCCCCGCACAACTTAGCCGGGCGGGAGGCAGGGCGCAGACCTCCTCTCCAGCTCTGGGGAAGGTGCCATTAAAACCCTCATTATCGCTGGGCAGGTGTGGCCAGGAGAGTGTGTGCAGGGAGTTAGCGCCTCCCGCCTCCGGCCAGGGTGTGGGGCGCTCTCTGCACACGCGTCCCCCTCCCATTGCAAGGGAACGGGGTCTGGAAGCACCTGCGGCCTGCACCCCTGGAGCTGAGCCCACCTGCGCGCCCGAGGGGGGGCAAAGAGGCAGAGCTGCTCTCTGGGTCTGCAGAGGCAGGAGCAGGAGCGCCCCAGAAGCTGATGGGAGGAACCCCGTGCCACCCAGCTTCTCCCCAGGAGAGGAGGTGCCCCCCCCCCCCAGCAGATGCAGTCTCTGGGGAACAGGGAGGGCAGGACAGGATGGCAGGGCGGTTTATTTAGGAGATAAGGTGGTGCATTCTCAGGAGACCAGGAGGCAGGAGGCATGGTGCTGGCATTCACAGGTAGATGGCAAAGCATTTCCCCCCAGAAGGTGCCAGCAACTCCCCTGGAGAGTAGGAGGGCGGGGGTGGGGGGGAAGCAGGCCCAGGAGTGCCCTGACTTGCAGGCCTGGACCTGTGGGCAGAACCGAGGCCCCACCCCCAGGGGGTGACCAAGGTCCTGGTGCTTCAGTCCCACCTGCCTGTCTCCTCTTCAGGAGGAACAGCTGGCAGTTCCCCTGAGCCACTTCCTGTCTTGTTTTTCTTGGAGTGCCTCTGTCCCCGGGGTCTCCGGGCTCCCCAAGGGGGTGGTGAGTGCAGACAGCCTTCAATGACAGCTCCGAAGCATGTCTCCCCTGTCATCTCACACCCTCAGCCAGGAGCAGCTGTGTGCAGGGAGGACTCGCTGGGGCTGGGAGGGAGCTGCAGGCCGGGGGCCATGGGGCTGCTCTGAGGCCGCTGTCCTGCCCTGGCCAGGCGATTCCACCTGCAGAGCCCTCCTCTGCACCCCCTTTCCCTGCTCCCCCAGGACTGGTGGGGGAGGGAGAAGGCAGGGGGACCCAGGGGCCCCGCCCCTGAGGCTGGACCAGGCCTGCAGAAGGAGGGTCCCTGCCTTGTGACTTTGCATCAGACCCGGAATGTCCCTGGAGCTCAGCACCCAAGCACAGTACCTTGGGGCCCATGAACCATTTAAGCTCCTCCTCAGAAGACCAGACCTCCAAGCTCCTGCAGGATCGGGACCTATGTCTCCCAGAGGAACCGGGGAGCTACGCTGGGCTCTGTGTCACCTCTCCGACGCCCCCTCCGCTCTCTGCGGTGCCAAGAGTCCATTTGGCTCCCATCTTTGAGGAAAACGGCCCACAGAACCGGTCAATACCCCTGTATGCGGTTATTCCTGGGGGTGTTTTCTTTAACCAGACTGTACGTCAGGCCGTTACCGTGATCGAGGCCCACGTGTTCTTCATCGTAGGCGCGCGGAGGGGGCGGCGGCTGTCCAGTACGACCTTCTGATCTGTAACATGGTTGAATCTGCTTAATATTGCGATGTTTTCCCAGGATCTCCAGGCAGGTTCCTCTGCAGGAAGCGCGGGGCCCTGCTGCCACCTAGTGGCCAGGCTTTCTGGTTGGGCCTTTGCACAGAAGTTGGTGGTCCAGGGTCTGACCTGCCCAGCCCCCCTTGCTGGCCTTCCCAGGACCCCTGGGCTCTCCTGGGCCTGGTGAGGATGGGGCTTGGGCATGAGGGCACCTGTCAGCTTCCCAGGGGCCTTCCCTCTTAACTTGGAATGATCGTGACCGCCCTAAGGTATAGGGCAGCTCCAATGCCAGGAATTGAGAGTGAGGCATCTTAGCCAAGGGGGTCAGAGCAGGGGGTGCCCCCGGAGTGCCCCCCAGGCCGGGTGCCACCCCTGTGGGCTCCTGCAGTAGCACAGGTGTTACTGCTTGTGGCCCGGAGTCTGGCTGAGCAGGATTGACAGCATGGGGGGCTGGGGCTGAGAGCACAGATGGGGTGCATGAAAGCCGAGGGTGTGGCCTCTGGGAAGGAGGGGTCCTCCCTATAGTCCTGTAAGGGGGGAAGGAAGACTCCATTGAGCTGGAGAGAGGAAGTGCGGTAACTGAGGAAGGTACCTGGCTTTGTTTTAAGTGAACTCATCTGAGGAGGGAGCCAAACTAGGAGCAGTTACTGAGATAAGATTAGACATTAAGCCTGGCCAGTGTAGCTCAGTGGTGAGTGCCGACCTAGGAACCAGGAGTTGAATTCCCAGGCAGGGTCCATACCCTGGTTGTGTGTGGGCTCGATCCCCAGGAGGGGGCGTGCAAGAGGCAGCAGACCCATGATTCTCTCTCATCATTGATGTTTCTCTCTCTCCTCTCTCCCTCCCTCTCTGAAATCAATAAAAATATATTTTTTTTAAGTTAGAAATTTTACATTTTTGCACTGGAGAGGATGCTAATGATCTAGAAAGCAGTGAAGTGTATGTGAGAACACGGTGTGTGCCCTGATTGCTGAATGGGCCCTCTGTGCTTGTCTGGTGCACTCACTGGACGTGGATGGGGTGTGGAGAGCTGGGGAATTCGCTCCTCGTCGAAGGATGAGTCCACTGGCCCCTGGCACTCGGCTGGGTGCTCTGGGAAACCCTGCACCTCCAGGCTCCGCCCCTCACCCGAGGCGCAGAGAGTTTGTGGTAACTTCGGTACTGCCCCTGAGGCCGCTCCTCCTTCCCCTCTCACATCCCTCGCCTCAGCATGTCCCTGCCCCTCAGTCACCGTAAAAGGACCTGTGATGCATGTCTCTGCTTAGGTTCAGGGAAAGACATTCCAAATTTATTTTTAAAAATCTGTATTTACCAGAACAGGCTGCGAAGGATCAGTTCCCCCCCCACGCACACACACACACATACACACACATGCAGGCACATGCATGCACACACATGCACACGTGCACACGGTCTCCACAGTAGCTCGAGAATGCAGACTGTTGCATTTGTTTTCATCTATAAAAGTAAAGGCCTCCTAGTTTTTTAGTATTTTCCCCATAAAAAGTCAGTGACTGTGCAGCAATCACAAACCTGAACAGTCCTTTTGCCCAGAAATGGCTTAGATCCAGAAGCCCAGCGGGGTGGGGACCCCGTCCACTGAGGGCGTCCACTTCTCCTCCCAGCGGTGCCTCCTACCGGACGGTTCCCTCCTCCGAGGACCACGCTTTCCTCGTCTCGGCTCTGGGACGCATGAGGGGCAGCCGTCAGTCCGCCAGGAAGCAGGCCTCCGGCCCGGTGGCTTCTCAGGCGGACCTGGGGCGTCACCGTGGACGTGTGTCTCATCACCCACACGTCTCTCTGCAGATCTGACACGGAGAGGGGCCCAGGTGGAGGTGCACCGGGCCCGCCTGCATCCCCTCCCGCGGTCATGGGTCAGCCAAGGGATTCTGGATGCCGGGCGGGGAGGGCCTGGGGCTGCCCAGCCACTCCTGCGGGAGACACGGCCACTCAGCCGCCCCCCTCCTCTGTTGCCTCCATCACCGATGTGTTCTCTCTGCCCATCCCTGCCCACGTCGCTCTTGACGGGCCTTGAAGACAGGCAGCTGGTGTGACTGCCTCTATACCGTCCACGGACAGACCCCAAGTCCCTGCAAGTGTCCATCTGTCCAAAGGGCCTGGAACAGAGCCTTGTCCTGTGAGGCTGGGCGGGGTTGGTGTGGAAGACGCCCCATGAGCTGAAGATGCTTGTAGGGGTTTTGAGTTGAGACGGTCAACTCCTGTGACCTACTTAACCTTTCGCTGAGTAAACGCACACCCAAGAGCGCGTCCCGGGTCAAGAACTGATAAGACACCCTTGTCAGTGTCCCCGCCAGCCCTGTCCCCACCCTCCATCCACTTCCCGGGTTCCCAGTCTGTGGCTGGGAGGCTCCTGGTGGGAGATGGGGCCCCTCACCCACCTAAGGGGAGCCTACCTATCCCCTCCTGCTGGAGCCTGTGCCCCGCGCCGGGGCCCGGCCCCTGACCCAGCGTCTATGCCGGCACCCTGACGAGGGCGTGACCGTCTGTGAGGAAGGAGCAAGGTCAGCTCGCTGTCTTCCCGCTCCCTTATCTCTGCTGCCGAGTTGAAATGCGTTTTGATGTTTTCCCCCTGAAAGACCGTCCTTTCTTATTGATTGAAATACCATCTGCCAGAATATTTCCTGAAA